AGTCCGAATTTACAAAATTGTTCCTACTTTAGTTGTCCTTTAGTTTTTTTCTTTTTCATTTAATTGTCTTAATAATGAAATAAATATATTTTTTATAATTAATTTTTAAATATATAATAAATAATTACTTTAATTTAATTTAATTAATTAATTAATTAAATCCACCTATCAATTGCGTTAAAATAAATATAAGAGTAATGTTAGGGGATTATTTGGTCTCTAAATCGATTAGTCCCTATAGTTTTCTTTTTTTCTATTTTTATCTCCTAAATTTAAATTTTAAAATTTTATTTTTGGTCTTGTAATTTTAATTTTTAAATTATGAAATACCTAAACTTTTAAATAATGAACTTTAAATTTGGAAAATATAAATTTTAATACATTAAACACTAAATTTGAAAACATCTAAATTCTAACATTATAAAATATATAACTCAAAAAATCTAAATCTTAATATCATAAAATATAGCATTCAAAAAATTTAAACCCAAACTCCTTAAATATCAAACCCTAATAAAAAAATCCTTACACCTTAAATATTGAATCTTAAAAAATTTAAACCTTAACTAACATCATAACCATCAAATTTTAAAAAATCAAAATCGTAAAAAATTTAAATCTTAACACCTTAATCTTGAACCTTGAACCCTAAAAATATAATATAATTCCTAACATTACAATCACTAAACCCTAATGCCCTAAATTAAAAAAAATCTTGTTTGATTTTAAGGATTTAAATGATGTATTTTAAATATATGGACTTAAAAGTTATAATCCTATAAACTTGAGGGTTGTGAATTAGTTACGCCCTTTCAAGACGTAGCATTGCCACGTCCGCTCGGCCTTCAGTTGGCATGATGGGCTTCGGCCGCTATAGCATTATTCTACATATAAATATTTACTTTTATATACATTAAGAATAATGAAGTCACACTTGACTCTCGTTATCCGACTATTATAGATTCGTTTACAAGGTGCATCTTTTATTTTAAGCATTGAAATTTGAAATACCCATCTTTAAGTTATAAATTTGTTCAAAAAAAAAAAAGAAGAATAATGAAGTCAAAATTTGATAATAAAATTTGAAATTAATGATGTTCTCAAATTGTAAACTTGTTTTTTTAAAAAAAAGAATGAAGTCAAAATTTGACAATAAAATTTGAAATTAATTCTGTATAATTCATGTTATTGAAAATATTAAAGATAAATTTCATATTATTTAATAATTAATTTTTTTTATAGAATTTATAATATTATATGTATTAATTAATTTAATGATATAAAATAACACACATCATTAATTCTAAACTTACCTTTACCTATCATTACTCATAAATTAATTACAAAAATTACATTTCTTACAATCTGTGCCAAAGGCACAAGCTGGGTAAATTGCTACTAAAATTTTCTTTTAATCTTTATCTATTTATTAAAGGTAATATAGATAAAAGTAATAATATGCTAACTTTTATTTAAAACTTTTAAGTTATTAAATAAATAAACATGTATAATATCATAAATTTTATTAAAGTAGAAAGAGTCCTCCAATTCTTGGTTTGAAAAAAAATAAAATAACTAACTATTGTTTTGCAACAAAAGAAATATGTTAATGATAGAAAATAATTTTTTTAAAGTGTTATACATTTGTATGGTGAATAAAATATATACAAACTAAATATTAGTTATTAAAATTAGCTAATTTAAGTGGTGGAAAAGCGTCAAACGAGCAATCATAAATGCACTTATGTAATTCACCTCAATTTTATGAATCAATAAGAGTAAGGTTAACCGCACTTTGGTCTTGTGGTTTGATGGCTCTAAATCATGTTGAAAGTGCATCCCCTCAACTCAAGGGTTGGAGTTTGAATTCACTCATCTTTAATGTAATCCGTTCAAAAAAAAAAAAAAAAGGTTAACCAACCTAACATTTAAGTTCAATGGTTTGTCATCAAACGAATTCACTCATCTTTAATGTAATCTGTTCAAAAAAAAATAAAAGAAGTAAGGTTAACCAACCTAACATTTAAGTTCAATGGTTCGTCATCAAACTCTAGTGCTTGTCTTTAATTGATTAGGAGTTTGACTCCCGTCACTATTTGAAAAATCCCCCACTCCTCCATATTTCTCCATGTTTAAAAAAATGAAAAAATAAATAAGAGTAAGGTTAACATCTTATATTTAGTTTTGTTCTATTGAAAACTTTTCCCAAAGTAAATCTTTTTGACATTTTGTCTAATATTACAACGTTCGCAAGGAAGTTTTTATACATTTGAGAAGTACATAAAGAAATTAATTTCTTTGAATTTATCAAAGCGATTTAAGAAATATATCTTTAAAATTGCTTAAAAAAAAGATTAGTTTCAAAGTGTATAAAAACTATTTAAAAAATATCCTCACATGCAATAAATAAAAAAATCAATAAAAACATACATATAATATAAATTTTTAATTAAACATAAAAAAAGCAAGTAATCTGACAAGACTGAGTAACAAAAGTTACCTACTTTTGTCAATAGAATAACTCTTCGGGATTAAATGGCCGAGAGAAGGACACAGTTGAATTATTAACACCAAAATGTTAGGTGGAGAACTATATTGATGTGCCTGAGAATTACATTCAAGATTTTGTCCCGACTTGTTTGTGCATAAGAGTGAAAGAATGGTGATAATGGACAATGGAATTCCTATTTCAATGTGTGTGCAACATCGTGTATTGTTTGATGGTGCATGGTACGCCTGAGAATTACACAGGCATGATGCAAATATCCTGCCTCAGAGTCAGAGGCAATGCATTGATGCAATGCCTGGTGTATTCGAAAGAGTTTGGGACCATTTAGCGGTTGATGGTTTGGAGAACTTCAACAAGGTTGGTCATCCATCATCTTAACTCTATTCATTGAATGAATGATCAATACCTATAAGTAAATATGCTTCCAACAGAGACCCAAATATCAATAAATCTCAGAGGCCAAGCCACTAGTTTAGATGAAAAACGTCGGAGAATAAATTGAAACTTAAATTGGCAGCACTGCCGTATGGGAGTCAAATTACCAAGTACATCAAAATTAGTGGGAAATATACTCATTTCATTAATAGGAGGGCAAAGCCACAATTAAAGAATTACATACACACACCATACAACAAGTTGAATGGTGTGACCCCATATCCGAGGAAGAATGATTTCTATCAATCTTCAATTCTCCCCATTGTTCCCGAAGGCTTACATTTGTTTCTATATTCCTGACAACTAAGGTTCTAAATATTACCAGGCACTCTACTTTGACCGAAAGGTCTTGTTGAGAAAATGGAATGTCCTTTGAATTGGATTGGAGTTCCCCCATTGATTCTAGTTGGCATTCTTGACAAGGAATTCTTGCACCACCTTCTATGTAGTCAAGCATGTCTCATTTTGTAGCTCTGTGTTTGTATTTTTGTTTCTGAATTGGTTACTGCATTTGGTTTTCACTTTTCACATGTGTTAGGAAAAATAGTGCAGCAAAATAAAATAGTTTCTATGAATAAGACGCGTGAACAATAACAAAGAATGGTCTTTGTTGACCAATATTAACAGTTAATAATAAAAATGGTTTAGTTAGTCAAATAAAATAAAAATGGGTGGTTTAACCAATCACTAATAGAAAAGTTAAATAAGCAAAATAAAATAACGGTTTAACCAACTACTTAAGAGAAAAAATAAATAACAAAACAACACCAAATTTTAAGTGGAAAAACCCTTAAAAGACTATTGAGGGAAAAAACCATGAGATAAATTTTGAAAGGTATATTCCACCATATAATAAAATTATACAGAATATACACTCAAGTGTTTTCTCTCATGATGTTTCCCATTCCTCTAGTATATGATCACAATCCTGATAAATTCATAATTTTATTACTCAATGTACTTTCTCTATGGAGCACACTTATACCTAAGCTTAATAACTAGCTCTCATCCTTTTTTTTTCACCCTAAGCTCTCACTTTGCTCACTTGGTGCTGCACTGCTTCTTGCTTGCTTGTTGCCTTGCCATTGCCTAGGTATTTATAGATGGAGAAACCAACCACCCATGCATAATTTCTTCCCCTCATTAAATGAGATTTGTTTGCAATGGTTGAAATTACCATGCAAACATTCAACAAGAGCCGGAGAAAAAGTGCAAATAAGGATGCCAACTTTATACTTTTTTTTTTTATTATTTAAGGATGTTAACTTTGTTAGTTTCTAAATAAGGATGTCAACTTTCAACTCTTTCTATTTAAAGATACTAACTTTCAACTTTTTCTATTTAAGGATTAATTGGGTGTGATACTGACGTGGCTAACGTATTTTTTTAGGTTAAATA